TTAAACAGTTTTTTTCAAATCGTCAGAATAATTACGTATCGATCTGAACTTTCGGCCTGATGCACAAATACCAGAAATATTCACATCATGGGAAGAATATAATGCCTAAGTTCTGGGAAAAGTAATTGTCGATTAAAAATTATATATGCTTATAGCAAGGACAATTGCCAAAACAAAACCTAAACACAAACATAAAAAACGAAGGCAATGTATCCCTGTCTGACATTTGAAGGTAACAAGAAAAGCAAGCATCATAACTGCAAAACTAGTAATGGATCCAAATCAGTGGTCATAAAAAAATAATTATGTTACATATTCAAGTTTTACATTTAGGGCTTACTACTATAATGAGGATTCATTGCCCCTTAAAGATACTATGTCCCTTTTGCAGCCAACCTCAACTTCTGTAGAACTTTGCAGGAATTATGAATATGTCATGTATGTGCTATCTGTGAAATTTAAATGTTAGTAGTGTCCTAATATTCATATTAAACAAGGAAATCCGTTTACTTGCTAGACTTCACTGTCAGACACTATTTAGTGACTGACTGGCTTTTTTTCTTCTTTGGTAATAACATACATAAAATGAGCTGTAAAGGGTCCATAGCAATTGTCTACATCAATAACCCATTATTATTATCTTTCAAACGCCGTTGGAATTTAACCTTTTCATTGTTTGGGCCTGCAAATGGGACATAGTACCTTAAAAGGAGTTGCATGGTTGCATGGCCCCCCTTTTTTTGCAGAAAGTACCTCTTTTTTTATTGGTGCATCCCATTCATCCACAGCCCCTGCAGTGCAACATTGAAACCCGTCACGAATACGTATCTCTGTAATGTTATTCCATGCGAGCAAGGCATGGTTACATTCATTTTATATCCTGGACTTTCATCGCGTTCAACTAGACTTGCTGACGCTCTGTGTTATTACTTCCTCGTATGCTGCTGCCTGTCTCAGGGAGTGGCTTTTTAGAATTGTTATACTTTCTAAACTCGAGCAAGTTACATCGCATTTGGCGAGCGAGGAGATTTCAAAAGAAGCAAAATCGGACACTTCAGTATTTGGCTGGAACCGTGATTCGAAAGTTTTTGGTTTAATTTTTCTTCATTCTCACAGTTTACACCACTTTGAGACGTTTATAGAACGTCTTACTAGTTGAGCAATGTTTTAGTTCACGGATTATTATTACGGACCACAAACTTATCCAGTTCTTTATAGTTCATATATTATTCACTTATCATTACGTCGAAATAACTCATCGTGCACCTACACCAAAGGCTTTAAATGACGTGATTGACCTGGACGTAATGGCCTACTGATAGATTATACACAAAACGTGAGTAGTTCATACTGTTTCATATTTTGGAGGAAAAATAATCATATGTACTCATAGCATAATAATTATTGACGTGTAGAAGCAACAGTAGTAGGAATAGCTATATGTTCAAGAGAAAGTTTCGACTACATAGACGTTTTTCTCCTTCTTCTTTTCTGGTGAATTCTTTATCTGAGCACGCTTGCAAACACTCTATCAAAGGTGAAATATAAAAAAAAAACACCAGCATCTAGTCTATTAATATTAGGCTATGTAAATCAAATTCCTAGTTGCTAAGATGGCCGCCGAGTATATACGTGATATTAGGCAGGGCTCCCTGTTAATTTATGTTTCTGTGGAAGTACTTCTAACTTCTCATATTTAATATTTCTTGTCTGCAGCAAAGTATTTGGGGTAAAAATAATAAAGAAGGAAATGATGGCTCATTGAATAAAATAATTGAAAATTAAGTAGATCTATAGAGTTTATACTAAAATGAAGTAAACATAATTTGTTTTTTTGTTATTAGGATATAATTATGTTGGTGAGTAGTTTCTAGGTTAAAAAGTAGCTTAAACATAATAACAAAACCGCAATTGAGTATTTGTATATGCATACTGTCTATTAAAAGATCAGAGCGCTTTGTTATTGTAATATAATTGGTGTGTGTGTGTGTGTGTGTGTGTTGTGTGCGGGCTTGTACATGTGGCTTTGGGAGGCGGTTGTGTTTTAATGAATATGAGAGAATCAAAGCATAACAAATCGGAACTAATTTCCGAAAAATGCCTCCGCCACACGTAGCGAATACCAAAGGTATTTTATTTTGGCGTTGTCCGTCCGTCTGTAATTTATAAGAGCGCTTTAGCAACGCGACGGAAGGCAAAGACGACGGGAGAAACCACTCAACCGAGAACGTGCTGCACTATGCTCCCGTCTTCATTTGTAACTTGTATATAGAGTTCTTTTGCAAACACGACCGAAGGCAAAGACGAGGTGTTCGAGCCCCCGAGTCCAGCCGTTCTTCAAGCCCTGACATGAAGGCCTCTACATAAGCATATTTTTCGCCCGAATTTAAACTTAGGAATTCTATTTTTCCTACAAACGCATACAAAGGTATGACTTAAACATAAATTGAGAAAAAATACCGGAAAATCTTCATTTCAGCAACATTTGTAAATCACTGGTATCGAATAAGAAATACCCCCTCCCCCATCAGTACAACAGCGCTCAGGGGCTCATGTCTTCTCACGGTTACCCCTATAACAAAACACACACACGCTTTCCCATCCTCTCACAATATTTACACGATATCGCTATTATAAAAACTTCCATTGATAAATTTAGATGGCATGCGGAATGTTTAGGAAATTTAATTCCTGTTAACTTTTCCCTTTTTTTGGGGGGGGGGGGGAGGAAGGGGGTTCCCCCCCCCTGCCCACCCCACTTCCGGCAACTATAGTATCCAAGCAACCCTGCAACAAACAGCTAAGCTTGGAGGGGTGGTGGCCGTTTATTGTATGGTAGGGTTCTTCTCCAAAGTTCTGGCCGTATTGCACTCTTGCGCACAACATACAGCTTATTCAGCTGGCGAGTCGTCGGCAACGCGCTGCACTAAAATTGGTGACATTTTACCACTTGTCAAACTACTTATGTAGGAAACTCGGATAAATTAAGTTCACATACCTAGTTTTCTATCATTTTCTGGTTTAAATAACGACACTCAAGACCAAAATCAACTCCAACAAAAAAAATCCAAAAAAAAAAAAATCAAAACATAAGAATACAAATAAAGCTTGGGAACCGCGGGTTATTTCAAGCAATCTACTGCACGCTGCACCATTTGACACTGATGGGAATGACCACTCATGACATTTTTTATAAACTACAATAATGTTTGTTTAATTTAAATAAAAGTTCCCTGTTAAATTTACTTTAAAATGGTAGTTTGAAACATAAAATGAACTTTTATATTTTTGTTCACAATTAGAGTTCTGACTATATGCTTTTTTCTTTCAAATGTATTTTTAGATCTTTATCTAATATATTATAGGTTTTTATTGTTTATATTTGACTAAAAGATATCAACAAACAACACACACAAAGGACGGGAGCAAATACAGTGCTTACGAGACGAGAAGCTATAAATAATTGTATTACTTGGCTATTGTGTGGAAGAATACGAAAAGCAGAAATGTCCTGTGAACATAATAGCACTTCAAATGGTTCACGCATAATTGATTTCTTGTATAGTGTAGTCAGGTAATAATAAAATATTGATATTGACACTCATATAATTAGTTTTCGAGACATTACATATTTCAATTTCTTTCGCTATTGGCGCACAAAATAACTGGTACACAATTACAATAAATCGTTCTCTCACTCCTTCCTTCAACCATCAAATCTGTCATTCTATTTTTCTCTGTCTGTCTCCCGAACCTTCTCTCTCTCTCTCTCTCTCTCTTTATCACTCACATTCACTCAAACACTTTATAACTTAATCACTCCCTCGCTCTCACCCTCTAACACCTAACACAAGTCCCCCCCCCCCCCTCAATTTTTTTAGGGTGGGGGGGGGGGGGGGATCGTCCCCCCCCCCTCAAAATTTGAAAAAGTGCACCAAAAAATATGTAAAGCAAATACTGACTAAAGACTGCAACACACTTTTAGGCTCTGGAGGCCCCAAGAGTGCAGTGTTTAGACAAATAAACATGCAAGAATCTTCTCTCTCGGTAGCTACGCTCCCTCGCATAATATCCTTCAAAATTCACAAGTAAATAACGAAAAAATTGAAGTGTGAAAAAAGTATATTGCTTGTTTTTATACTATAGTTTTGCTAAGAAATGTAATTGTATATTGCAACAAAACTTCAAAATCATGTGAGGGGGCAGTCTCTTGAGTCACTTTGACCCCCTCTCATTCACTTTGCTCCCTTCGATACCAGTGATTTACAAATGTTGTTGAAATGGCTGAGCTTCCCTGGGCTTCCGGGGCTCTGCCCCCTTGACCCCACCGAGGGCCATAAGGCGGCCCCTGGATACTCACCTGATCGTAATTTAATGCCTAAAACCCCTGAGCTTCTGGGGGCTCCGCCCCCTGGACCCTACTCTAATAAGTGACCTGCATGCCAGTGTCACAAATAAGGTATCAAAATATGCTCGTCTGACCGTAATTAAATGCCTAAAACCCCTAACGTTCCAGGGTACTCCGCCCCCAGGATTGTCATCTGACCTTGATGAACGCCTAAAACCCCTGAGCTTCATGAGGCTCCGCCCCTTGACACCGCCGGGGCTTGGCCCATGGACCCCACGCCAATTTACGCTCCACTTGACTTTGCTTTGCTCTACCTGATCGTTAATACTTTAGCCCACCCCCCAAACGTTTTTGCTCATTACGCCAGTGCTCCCTCGTCCCTCGCATGTCGCCCCCCCCCAGTCATGAAAATAAATCGCCGCCCCTGCTCATTAATTTCTATCTCTCTCTTTCAACTGTTCTTTTTTATATTCATATTTACTAATTCAACAAACACACTCTGGTTTCGGATGCAGCGGAAATGATCTACGGAAATGGCAGTCATGGCAGCGTTTTGCCCATGTGTTCTGCCCAGAAAGAATAGTAATGCATTCTTCACATACACATTGACACGAACACAAGCCTGCACCCTTCTTGTGTGTGTGTGTTTGTGCGTGCGTTTGTGTTTCCAGGCAAACGTGGACGTTCATTATAATACACACCTTCAAACCGTGGACACTCGCCAAATGCGGACGTCCTCGGTGAAAAAAAACTGAAGCAAAGGGATTAGATAGTGTTTGGTGTGTCCGAATTAAATTATCGCATCGATCCAAGGAAGTCCGCGGTATCCTGTGCTAAATCATACATAAAGTGTGTAAAGGATCTGCCGTGTGTCATATTTCACCGCCTGACACGATAGAGGAGACCCTAAAGCCCTCTAGTGGTTCTTCGAGGCCAGTCCGCGGTCGGGCATCTTTCGCGCGCCCCAGGTTTTTCGCGGCAATTTCGGTAGCTAGTACAGTGGCCGTGCAGTATGCGCGTGGACGTGGCCACGTCCACGCGCATACATGCAGATCACGATTGGAAAAGCTAGCTGCACTGAACAACTGACAACAACAGAGAGAGGTGAGTAAGTATTTTATGCATGTACTTGTTTTAATTACATTAACTTGGACGAGATCACAACCCAGGGTTGACGGCAGGCCATAGGCTTATTTACTAAAAACAAATAATTAGACTAGTCTATAGACCTCTATAACGGCCCAACGGCAACGTGGTACTCCTACGTAGCATCCATGCATTTTAAACCAGGACCGATTAGGCCTATGCATGACTAGATCTATCATCTAGATCATGAGTATGGACAAAGAAAATGACGTCCCATTTGCATGGAGTATTCATTTTTTCCGGAATTGAAGAGGCTCTTTTCATCCTAAATGTATGCGACAGCTCCCGTATTGTATACTGTTGCATGGAATTGGAAGATCTGTTGTGGTTGTTTGTTTTTGATCATGAGAGTTACATTCTTTTGCACATGGTTGTGATGGAAAACGGGTTTTTATGTAGTGCAGTAGACATTACTGGACAACGGGGTTACAACTTGTTCTAGGGTGAGTTCTTTAATTATGGTGTAGCATGATGGTCATGACGATCAGTAGGCCTAACTTTCAACGGAGCTAGATCTAAATCTAGGTCTAGATCTAGGCTAATTCCGAAACAAGTTTAATTTAACTTCCAAAAAGGGCCTAGACTCTAGATCTACTCCCTAGCTCTAGAGTTTAGACTAGATCTAGAACTAGACTAGTCTAGAGATAGTAGAGTCTAGACATCTATGATCTAGATCTAGATGTAGACCCTAGGTAATAAATATAATCAGCGTTTGTGTTTACAGGCAAACGTGGACGTTCATTAGATATAGATTCTAGATCTAGATCTAGTCTAGATCTAGAACTAGATCTACACACCTTCAAACCGTGGAATGCACCTCCCAAATGCGGACGTCCTCGTTGAAAAAAAAGGCGTAGGCCTAGACCTAGATTCTAGTAGAATATACTGCTTGGCGGCGCTATTAAATTATCGCAGCGATCGAGGAGGTCCGTGATATTCTGTGCTAAATCAAACTCAAAGTGTGAGGCTTAATCCAACTTAATAATTAGACCCTAGCAATTATATAAAAGTCATATTGCACGCTAAGAAATCGATATCTAGCGCAGCGTACGCGTATCTAGCTAGATATAGATCTAAAGCGGGGAGCGGAGTATTATTAGAAAACAATTTTTTGTTAACTTTTGCCTTGGAGTTAGGCCTAGCTGTTTTGACTTATGGATTCTATAATGAAGCCATGAATTTCAGCTGTCTGATGTATGGATTTTATTTTTACTCGAGTCAAGGCAAGTGGAATCCCGTGGACTTTTTGGTAAGCCTGCAAGGCCGCAGGGTCTTATCTTTCCATTTTCTAGAACCAACATGAACATAATATACTCTAGATATAACTCTCGTAGACTCTAAACTTTTGTTTGTTTTGATTTTCATGTGTCGGTATTTTATAAAACAAATAACGCACTTGACCCTGTTGTGCGTAATGTAAATGCAGTGTACGCTCGGTTTTTCCAGATGGTGCGCCCTGTGAACTCGCCGCAAGCAGCTCGTTGCACAGAGGCGGCACCAATCTAAAGAAACCTCGCGTGTACTGTAAGGCTGTGAATAACCGTGTAATGAGGTACTCGAGTACACTTCCAGGCTTACAGTCAAATAGTCGGACGCCGTGTTTTCTTTTATAATAAAAATTATTTAAAAAAAAAAATTACCACCATACTATGGTAGAAGACTAGAAGTATACCGAAAACTCAACTTATTTTACCTTGAGTTCCAGTTGAAGGCGCTGATTCAATAATAATAATTGTAAACAATGCTGTTTTTAAAACCAAAGATGACTTGACCTCCGAGTCCAAACAGAAATCCGGACATTTGGTCCCAGTTTCTGAGTGGTGAGTTGACAGTGATTGAGCTGGAAACATTTTTACCCACGATACCATGCTAGCGCTAGCTCCCGGGCACGGGTAAGCGTCGGCCTGGACAGTGCAAATGTCATGTCGTATTCAGATATATTGTGTAAAAATGTCTCTCGATCATTTAAGAATGTCAAATTCAGTTCTCAACACGAGAGGTACATGTAAATGTAACTTGACTTATGCTCAGTCAGAAATGTCAACCCCTTATAACACGTTTAATAGGTAACACGTCTATGGAGAGCATAATTGTTGTGTGAACCCTTCAGTAGCACCCTTTATTTTTCCTCGGCCATGACATTTTTAATTTCACCTTCAAATTTTTTTTGGAAAAATTTGCCAAGTTCAAATTCAGAATAGAACTTGTTGTTGGTTTAAAATGGTTTACCCTGACCTTCACATTTGAGGATCTCAATATTTTGAGCACCAGAGCTCTAGCTCTCCTTAACAACATTTCAGGACCTCGATTTACATACTGAGCTCTTTAGTACTACTTGAAATACAGATGTGCAAAGATAGAGCTCCTTGTTCAGCACCTTAGTAAACTAAGGAGAGAGATCAACAGAGCTCCTGATTTTTTTAGAAATGAAGGCCTGTAAAAAAAATCACTGTTCGATTTCCCCTGTGTTACCAAATGCTCACTAAATTTTCAACAATTTATTATATCTTGTCTATTTCAGGATTTGATAGCACTCTGACAGGGAATAATTAGCCTTTTGACCCCCCCCCCCCCCCCTGACTGGGAAAGTTTGCCAGAGATCGGGAAATTTGCCCCTTAGAGCGGACAGGCCTGGTACACCCCTGAGCATGTTTATAGGATACTGAATGGTAAATAGGCCTAATGGGTAGGCACAGCAAAGAGAACAGAAGAGCATACCTAAAGAGAAGAAAGGTAAAAATCAGAGAAGTGAAATTAGCTCAGGAAGATAATCACACAAGTCACATTCAAGTTGATAGCCCGGCAACAAGAAGCCATATTGTTACTGAAGATAACAGCCATTCTAACAGTCACAGCCATACCCTCTCATCATCATCGTCGTCTCTATTTCCTACATGGACATCAGCATCACTTCCATCAACTCGTGGACAGATTTGTGTGAATACTGCAAAATCAATTTGCACCAGTAAAGCCTCTTCAACAACAGCTGCAATTTTGCGAGGTGAAATCCCTAAAAAAGTATCAAATGACATTTTGATGACAAAGTGGAATGAACACAGATTGCTGTATAAACAATTGACTCTTGTCAAGAGAAGATTAAACGTGATAGAATATGGAAAAAGAGGTCAGATGCTTAATCAGATGGGAGTCGATATGAAAAGATGAACAACAATAATTTAAGGTGTGTATTTTGGAATTTACTGACCATTCACATTTAGTGGACAAATTCTCAAATGCTATAAATATTGCTTAAAAATGTGTCGCCTGTCAGCTGATCATCCATACTGTATTAGCACGAAGACTGAGGAATATGACACTTAACAAATAAGTGATCATTTATTAATATCTTGTTGTCATCTTCCACATTTTTTCTACTTTTTGAGTGGGGATAATATCATGCGGTACAAACATTTCCTGGTCTTCACTAGTGGTATCTAAAATGTGATAAGACTGGCAAGATACTGAAGTACACTGAGCTTTGTTAAGCCAGGATTATACTCAGGCGTTTTTTACGCCAGTGGGAGACGCCGCTGAGGCTTTCACGAAGGCTTTGGTGACTTCAGCGTCTCCGAAAAAAATGCCAGCGACACAGACGCTGCGGAAAGCGAGAAAATTCAAAATGTTGAACTTTTTCTTTCTCCACCGCGACAGACAGAGTGTTTGAGGTCACATGATCTTGTGCACATTTCATAAAAGAGTTTGGTGAAAATCCCCAAAGCCAGCGAATTTGAGTTGCTTTGTGTTTTGAGTGGGGCTAAACATAGGCAGTGGAATGAAAATATGTGTTTATTTCATTTTAAGGCAGCTCCATAAGCTATGGTTAGTTGCACATATATCCTTACAAGTGGCAAAGAAGAAAATCTGCCAATTAAAGCCCCATGGTAATACTAATTAGTAATATTATCAGGTTTTATCAAGTCAATGAACAAGTATAATTTCTATTAATATTTAAGCTGCATGTTTTGACGTTCCTACAAATGTATCTGAGGCTGCTTTTAAGCCGATCTTGAAATTGCAACTAAATGAGTGCGAAGACTGAGGAGAGACGCTTACAAATGCTTTAGTGATCATGTGTAATACATGTAGATAGAACATAGCTAGTATCTTGTTGTCATCTTCTATCTTAAAATTTCAGTTGCCTTTTGAGTGTGGCTACTATCAGGTCATGCGGAATGAACTTTCCCTGACCTTCAGAGCTGATCTTGAAGGGGCATATTAGAAATGAGTGCGAAGATTGTGGCAAGCTAGAGACCAAGCGCAACTTTATAGATCATGTATCAGAATAGAAAGTAATCATAAAATAGTTAGTGTCTTGTTGTCATCTTCGATCTTTGAATTTGAGTTGCTTTGTATTTTGAGTGGGGCTAAACATAGGCAGTGGAATGAAAATATGTGTTTATTACATTTTAAGGTGGCTCCATCAGCTATGGTTACTTTTGCACAGAATTCCTAACACGTGGCAGTGGATGTGTGTTGATAAGAAAAGAAAATCTGCCAATTAAAGCTCATGATAATATTTACTAATTTGTCAAATAATCATTAGGTTTTATCAAATCACTGAAAAAGTATGTGTACCATACTCCATTTTTTTAAACTAATTTTTAAGCTGCATATATATGTTTTGACGTTCCTACAAATGCATCAAAGCTGATTTTGAAATTGCAATTAAATAAGTGCGAAAACTGGAGTGAGACGCTTACAAATGCTTTATTGATCACATACAAGTAATAGATAGAATATAATTATGTGATATTAAGTATCTTGTTGTCATCTTCTATCTTAAAATTTCAGTTGCCTTTTGAGTGTGGCTACTATCAGGTCATGCGGAATGAACTTTCCCTGACCTTCAGAGCTGATCTTGAAGGGGCATATTAGAAATGAGTGCGAAGATTGTGGCAAGCTAGAGACCAAGCGCAACTTTATAGATCATGTATCAGAATAGAAAGTAATCATAAAAT